CGGGGACTACGGCTCTAAAATCCAGCCGCGAGAGCCATCTAGCGCGGATCAAGTAAATCCCTTATCGCGATGGTGGAGGGGTGGGGGGAGAAATGTCTCCGTGCAGACAAAGGACCCTTTCATCTTCCAAGGGGACATCGTGACATGTCAACGTGTATTCACGCAATCCTCATCTTGGAATTGATGATGATGCCGTTCTTGATCGCAGGTGACTCGTCACACGAGAGAGGTGCAGTATCTCGTCTACAACATGCGCAACGAGTGAGTCTCATCCCCTTTTTCTCTCTCACGTGCAAAAGTTCACATGATGAGCGCCCTGCACGGTTGCATAATTTACTTTAATCGCCATTTTCGCGTGCCTTCGCATGCATTATGCATGATGGGTTGATCTCTGGGCGCTCCATAATGCGCTCCCCAGGCCATCGCGTAATTATAATCATCGCAGCGGGATCACGAATCTCACCGAACAAGACCGAGAAGAGGAAATTGCTATCGGAATTGCCATCAGAATTGCCAGGTCGACATCATTTCGTGCGTGTTGGGTCGACTGCCTCGAAAAGTGCCGCCTGCAACCTGCCAACGAAACGATTTTCAGTCTCATCCCTCAAACCAAGCAGATGCTCCCTTCCCTTCCTTATTGGCGGTTCAACAGTCTCTCTGGTAGCAGTCGAGGGTCTTCCTATATGCACTCTGAATGAACTGGCCGTCATAGCTTACGACGACGACCCAGCTCTCCATCTTCCCCTTGTTACTCGGAGCAGCGAATAGGCGGAGGATGTCATCCCTACCCCAATCCGAGTCTCTCCCGTGGGGAAGGGACATCCGCGGGGCGTTCAGGGAATCCGCCATAATTCCGGTCAATAAGGCATCTTCCACGTGCAGCGGCTTCATTCCCCTCTCACCCTTTTCGTCACCTTTGAGCAATATTCCACGGTGAGGAAATAGACCCACCTTATAGGTCGGACAACGCTCCGTGGCGTATTCCTCCTTGGAGACAAACCACTTTTCTCGTGGATCTCGGATGACCTTCGCATCTGAAAAACCTCAACCCGTGACGCAACTTCCAGAACAATTCACGGTCTTCAGGTACCCATAAATCTGGAAAAGTCCATGAAGACGTCGTCGTCGTTGGCTTCCCAGAAAAATGCGGCATGGAAGCAACGACGAGCAGCCTAATTCAGACCAAGATGGATTTTATGAGCCAAATTTTCGTAGGAATCTTGGAAGTCGGCCTGGACGATATCTCCGTGTCTTTTGGGCCTCTCCAAAGCCGGTAGGCTGAAATTCGAAAGAAACGGGCAGACAAGGAGAAAGACCAGTCAGCTTGAGGCACAATTCTCGGATCTCTTTCCTCCACGGCGAATTCTCAGGTCTCTACATCAGGAGGAGAAACACATGACCCTTGCATGCATCCGGTGAAGATATTTGAATGGAAGATCACCGAGAAGCATTTCTTAAAATCCATCCACGGACTGCAAAGTCCGAGCCGAACTCGCCTTGCCAAGCTCTCGAAACGCTTTTGCCATCGCTAACTGGATATTCCCATGCACCCACAGGGGATCCATCCCCGACAAAAGGACCAACACGAGGAACGCCGACTTCTGTACATTTTGAACATCGGACGCGTATCCGTTCCAGTGCTCTCGAGGACTGCCTCACCGCTTGTTCCATCCCGATTCAAACATATTCTTATTGACTGAGTGCTTGCAGTCTTCGACGTGAATCATTGATGGACGTTTCCTCTTTGTTCTGCTACTCGTGGATCAATACCCTCTGCAAGCTTTAATGATGGGTATACCTGAGCATCGTAAAGGGAATAGTGATTCACAACCATATTATGCTCGTCCTGGGCGGGAAATCACGGGACTTTCAAAGTTCCGACGACGGCGAACAATCTCCGGAAAAGGTGGAAACCATTATTGATCACTCTGCATCTATGTATAAATTGCCCTCTCCCCCCATTAATCTGGTCTTCTAAGGTACTTTGACGATACTAATGATTGCATGATTGTCCAATTAGCAGGTCAGTTCTGAGCACTGGATTGATCTGTCACAACCAATAACAGAAAAAAAGTCCTTTAAAACCCAACCGCTTCCCCATCTGATTGATAAAACCAGCTGTCAACATCGCATTGACACGATATAGTTAGAAGAATTAATGGGTTTCCAGTGACGTAATGTTCCCACGAGCGTACCGCTGAATTATGTATGGTTTCTTGAGTGGAACACCGCAAGTCTATAAGAAATCTATGAAAATGCCAGGCAACCGTAGGATGGGCGCTTTAGACCATGGCAGCGAATGCGTTAAGCCAGCAATTAGGGCAATCCAACCCTTTGAACAATGCTCACTTGAGTCCACGAATGCACTTGAATGAGATCCGTCTCAGTCGCACACATGAAAATTGACAGTCTTGGCCTGTTATTAAGGTTGAGAAACTTCAGACACATCGTTTGCATTGAGTTCTGATTATTGCCAATCCAAGTGGTTGCAATGCATTCTAATTAATTGGCACACATACAAGATACTGGTATGGGTAATTACAACATACACCACATTGAAGTGGCTGTCGGCAGTTTTTTTTCAGTCCCTTTGGCTGCGAGTTACAGCCTCCTTGCACGAACAGGTACCAACATGACTATTCAAGTCGACAATATCCACGAACAACAAAACATTTGCCATTTTCATCGAACAGCAGGGTCGTAAGGGCGGAGACTATTCCGAGGGCAACTTAATTGAGTCTCAGGTCAGAAATCCGCAAAGAGAAAACCGAATCACATTTAGCTCGTTTTGGCCTACAAAACGAAGTCTAGGGCCTCGATTTGAGGACTTATGGAACTAATACTAGGGCGGAGGTGCTACGTAATAAGACCCATCCATCCGTATTGTGCTAATACACTTTTGCGAATGCAAGAATGGAGGAATATGGAACCTTTGTCACCGGCGGTGTAGACATTTACTCACATAGCAGCGTGGCGTCATTGAACCACGAGAATCACAAAGAACCAGGCTTAATGCGAAAAACTGCGCAATGAAACCAGATAAAAGACTTCGAATACGACTATCGAATGGTCAGTTCCGGTCCCCGGGCCTCTAGAGCGTAGAACGCAGAGTCATTCCACGAGTCTAGGGGTACTTAATCTTTTGTTTCGAGGGAGTCTTGGCCCTCTGCCACACGAAGTCCCCACAGACTCTCATCTACGATAAGGCGAATGGTACCATATATTCCCGCCCATTCATAAAACAAGGAACACACACCCCATTTTGCAATCTGCCTCCAATGGAGCAGTTATGAATCGATGGAGGAAATCGTTTATTTGGAAGGAAATCCGCGTCATTTATCAACCCTGTGCAGCTCCTAATCTACTTTTTTTTGAGAGCTTCGTCACTCGCAGCAGTGTATGCATTTCAGTACATATAAGAAATAATGAAAAATCAATTATAATTGCTGCATGCAATAAATATAAGGACCGTTATCGGGGGATACTGGTTTGACAGCGTCGGAGATGACAGTCGAGGGTCTTGTGATATGCAAACCGGACGAGATTGCGGGCATTGCGAACGACAACCACCCAAACTCCTAACTTCCGCCTGTTGAGCGGAGCCACGAATCGGCGAAGGATGGCATCCACACCCGACTTCAAGTATCTCTCTGGGGGAAGGGATATCCGCGTGGCGTTCAGGGAATCCGCCATAATTCCCGTCACGAAAGCATCTTCGATGTGTAGTGGCCTCATTCCCCTCACGTCTTCCGTCACCCTCGAGCAGAACTCCGCGGTGAGAAAATAGGTCCAGCCCACCATATAACTCGGATAATGTTCCATGGCGTATTGCTCTTCGGAGACAAACCATTTTACCCTTGGATCTCGGATGACCTTTGCTTCTGTCGTGGCTCGACCGATGACGCAACTTCCGGAACAATTCACAGTTTTCAGGTATCCATAAATCTGGAAAATGTCGATGAAGACGTCGTCGTCGACCTTGCCGACAAACGCAGCGTGAGAGCAGTGACGAGAGGCCCAATTCAGACCGAGAAGAGTTTTATAAGTCAAATTTTTGTAGGAATCTTGGAAGTCGGCTTGAACGATATCTCTGTGCTTCTTCGCTTCTTGATTCAGAAAATTTTGGGCGGATTTAGATGCATATGACCTGGCAAGGAGAAAGACGAGTCGAACGTCCGGCAACGACTTGGGCCGACCCCATGTTTCCCTGATCATTTTCCTCCACATTGAATTTCCCGGCTTCGATGGAACCATCAAGAGGAGAAATACCTCACCCTTGCATATATCCGGGTTGTTGTGAAGATACTTGAATGGGAGATCGCCCAGAAGCATTTCTCCAGATTTTGGAATCGCATTGAGGGACACGTTGAAGTCCCCCTGTCTTCGGTCCGACCTGGTCCGATCATCTCCATGCAGTGTCACTGAAACGGGTTCTTCTTTGTCCAGTCCAGTCACTGAGACGGCTTCGTCAGTTTCCAGTTTAGTCACCAACGGGTGCTCTGTGCAGTTCTCAACCGAATGCAGATCCCACGAAATCCAAGTTTTTCCGTTCTCGACGATCTCTTGAGAAACAGCAATGTTTCCGTGTATAGTCACATTCGCCCATACGCAGAAGCCAAAGACGAGGACGAATGCTATGATCAGGAACTTCCTCCTGTTCAAGCATTTTCCCACCCGGCAGCACCGAAGCCCCATTCCCGCATTACTGAGTGGCCCTCGCATACCGAATCGCTATAAATGGAGCGCACTACATGCGTGTCTTTTTCTGGAGCGATTTTCGGGTCGGTTGACGTACGGAATGGATGATTTGGCACCATTTCTCTTTTCGTCCCATTTATGAGCTATCGAACTGCCGCCCAACAGTGCATTTATTGTCCCCGCATTCATTACTCCCTGCATTGTCTCCCAGCCAATATTTTCGGCTCCTGCCGTCGAGAAACTCCTCGGGCCACCCCCACCTCCAATTCGCGGATTGGGTCCCCGGAACCTCCTCCATCGTCATGGTCCACCAGCAGAACCTCTACTACCTACAGGACGCGACCCAGTGGCAGGAATTCGTTCCCATCACCCGCAACGCTGACTCCCTGGGGGTCTACAATGGAATCCCCGATCTCGCTTACGAAGGCGAGTCAAACGTGATCCTCCTTCGATATCAGCTGATCAAATTGCAAAAACATTCGTTTTTTTTTTCAGAGGATCTTTTCCAGCAAGATCACACCATCTGGATGACAGAAGATGGGAAGAGGCTCGTTTATCTCTCCATCGACGATCGGGAGCTCCCCCTGTAATGTCTTAATTATTTAGTAATCATATTAAATTATACTATAAATAAAACATCCTCCATTGCATGTGTAATAATTTTCACACGCAATGAATTTCTTTTTAGGATCCAGATCCCCAAATTGGGATCCATGGAGGTGCCGACAGAGGAAAGTATAAAAAAAATTCGATACCCAAAGGTATGTCGACCAATTATAATTCTTTTTCTTGCAAAGTATTTGCGAATCAAAGAAGAAATACTTTTTTTATTTGCCTCTGGTAACGGTACTCTTCTCAGCATGTCATGGTTCTTGCAATATAAATTTTCAGAGCTCTAAGCTCAGCATTTTTCGTGAAATACGTGGAATATGCAGGATTTCAGGCCTTTGTGGGGGATTCTTGTGAGAGAAGCGAGATTGGATTTTTTCTGGCGACCGCTGGCATTCCGCACGCAAGCCAGTCTCAGAAAAGAATTAGCACTCAACCTAAAGCTCGCTAATCGACATTGATCCGAGGAGAGAGAGCGCGCGAAAATGCGAAATAATGATCGAGGGGCAAAACGCGCAGCCTGCAAGGTAGGGTTGCCCGCGCAGCGAGCGACTCAGCGGGAACCTCCAGCCATCAGGGGAACGAAGTCGTCCATCAGGTCGGTGTTTGTCACAGCGAAGCATGTCTCAGTCCGAGTCCAATTAAGTCTGCTGACTCGGTTGAGACTCAGAGCTGGTAGGAAGGGTCGAGTCCTCTTACTGTGCTGGTCGGGACCATTCAGCGGCGAGCTTTGCCACTTTCGATGGCGATTGTCGGGAAAAGAGGCCATGTCGCTTGCTGGTGTCCCTCGACGATCTCGATCGCGACTGAAAAGTACATTTTCTCTTCTTTCTTTCCTCGTTCTTTCCCATCAGGACGAGTTATATCTGTATTATTAAGGGAGTCCGTCCGAAGAGAAGGAAGGCCTATGCCCCTGAGAACTCGCTTCTCTCTCTCTGCTCGATATCGATTTTCTGTATCTCCGACCGACCGAATGCAGCCCTCTCCGGAATTACTTTCCGTGAGGGACTCCCTCAGCCTCTTTTCGGGCGAGATTAATCGCAATAAGCCTTTTATGATGGCACCACGTTTTAAAATTAATTTTATTAGTCATTATCGCGATTAGATTGGGCGTTCTCCCAGAAAAAAATTCCCAGATTGCCCTGTTTTTACTCTAATTAAAGATCACCGTTCCATGAAATACATTCTGAAGATTAAATTCGGTGTTTAACAAGGCATTCATAACTCACGAGAAATGACTTCGGTTTGAAATTCTCCGCATTTATCGACAACATTCCGCACACCCCTCTCCATCCTGTTGTGAAGTCGGTACTGCTCGCAATTAACGAAGCGTGAAGTAGATATCATTAATTCTGAAAGAAGACACGCATCACATAACATTTATCAGGTGACACAATAAAACTCAAAAACGTTTCTTCGGTCTGTCGCGCCATCTAACGAGCAGGGAAAGTTAAGAAAGCACGATCTCTCTCGTCGCGCGATATAGGCTGGCGCGGAAGGAAGACCCGAAGTGACCTTGTGGGTGGTGGAACTCTTCAACCTCACGTCTCTCCCGGTGGAACCGCCGATCGACATCCACTCCAGGTAGATTTCTCTCTCTGTTGGCCGTTCGTTCTCGGCTGTCCTTATCCGATCGTAACTCCTCGCAGGCAAGCCTGGGTCACTGGGATCACGTGGTCCGGATCAAGCCGCCTCTACGTCGCTTGGAGCAACAGGAGTTTCACCCAATCTTATCTCACGTCCTGCGACCACCCTCTGTGGCTCTGCCAAACCGTGAGTCTCGCCGTCGCTCTCGCGAAAACCCCACGAGATGCAAAAATTTCACAAATGCCAATTCCTCGGTCGGAAAGGTGTGGCGGGAGACGGGTGAACGAATGATCATCCGGGGCGGCCCCGTCCTCTCCCGAAACGAAGAAAACGCTCTCATCGTCACCTCCCACCCCGCCGACGGCCTTAGGCGTCTGAAGATGGTGAAACTCGGAGACCTCGGCAAGGCGAAGCTCCTCAGCGCCGACGAGCACGTCGAACAGATCTTATCCTGGGATGAAACCAACGGATTAGTGTAATTTACATCCCTCTACTCCGATCGACGATTCAACATCGTCGATCATTCATCGACGATGATCATCATCATTGATCATCGATTCAACATCATCATTCATCACTCATCACTCATCATTCATCCATCATCATTCATAATTCATTATCATTAATCATTCATCACTAATGTTAACATAATCAAAACTGACATTATTTTATTCAGGTACTACGAAGCCCGCTTAGGAAGCATCAGACGACACCTGATGCGAGTCAACGTCGACACCCTCAAGATCGAGTGTCTCACGTGCAACATCCGACGGGACCCGGGCGAGGGGAACGCGACGGTGGAGTCGACCTGCGAGAGCACCCGGTCGTACCTCAACCCCTCGTCGACCCGGGTGGTCGTGGAGTGCCGGGGGCCGTCGATCCCGTTCGTGAGGCTGTACGACGTCCCGTGGCCCGGGGAGCTGGAGGAGGTGAGGACCCTCGAGGACCACGGCGTCCTCAAGAACCTGACCGAGGGCATGGTCTGGCCCGAGAGGGAATTCCTGAGCGTTCGGCTCCACTCCAACAACTTCGCCCGGGTCTCGCTCTTCTTCCCTCCCATTCATCCGCTGAATCGGGACGAGGATCGTCGGTTCTCCCTCGTCATTCGCATGTGAGTGATCGCGTGAGCTCACGATTCACAACTCGGCGCAGGTTTTCGGATGAAGTCAGTTCGAAATCGATGGGGAGAAATGTAATTGGCCAAAAAAGCGCGGATTGATGCATGTAATATCGAATGTAGAATCGTTTAGCTTTCCAATATATCTGGCAGTCTTAATTAACTTTTAAACCGCTTACGAACGTAACCCGCAATAACTTCACCCAGGAGGGGGGGGGGGGGTTGGGCAATATACGCTTCGGAGCAAATTGGCTTCCTGATTCAACTGCGTCGAGACGGAATCCGCCAATCTTCCGTTCCCCTGCCCCGCTCTTGAACTCGGCAAGGGGAATTTATTTTTTCTCTGGGATCTGAGGGAGGCTGATTCAATCCGTGTTGTACGCGATGTTAATGAGTTTTGCAGACTCGGAAGTAATTTGGGGATCATTACCGATTGAAACCTACCGGTAGATGAGATATTTTTCCCCTTAATTCGTCTCATATTCTATATTCGTTCGTTCTGAGGTAAAAGCGTTGATAGTCCAAGGATGGTATTTAAAAAATTCGGTTGAGTCGAACACATCTCCTGAAGCATTTGAAAGGAGGAAATGTGACCACTCTGAGTCTTTCAACATTCATCATGTCGCCATTCAATATGCATCACATCGCCATTCAATATGCATCACATCGCCATTCAATATGCATCACATCGCCATTCAATATGCATCACATCGCCATTCAATATGCATGATATCACTCGATTGCCTGACAGCGGTAACTTGCCGGGGCTGAAGAACCACCTCCCGACGGACTGGGGGATCACGTGGGGACGGTACCTGGTCTCCGACTGGGAGATCGTCTACGGGGTGCTGCACTTGGACCCCGTGGCTATGGTGCCCTCGGCCGACGATCCGTTCAGGACGCTCGACTATCTCCATGCCATAAGGTATGTTGGGGGGAGAGGGAGGGGGGGGCCTGGGGGGAGGAGGAGGGGGGAGATCGGGTTTCCATGGCAACGCAAGGTTGAGTCCATCGATTCGGATCATCGTCGTCTGCTTTTTTCTTTTTTTTATCTTGAAGATGCGTTTGGTTGCGTTGGGTGAGATTTTTATAAGCGTGAGGGCGTGGCGATGTTGATTTCTTTCGCGGTCGAGTCGATGAAAGTCGAGGGAGTCGAGACGACAGAACGAGGAATTGGGTCTTTCTTTCAGACTTAATTGGATTCTTCCAGGGGAATTGCAGGGCCTTAGACTGCATAGACAGACAGCCCTTTAATTGAAGGAAGGGGAGGGCTCCTTCCTCTCTTCCTCTCGTTCTTCCTCAGTCCCTTCCTCACTCCCTTTTTCCTCAGTCCGTGATTTGGGTGTTGAATCATGGTCCATGGTCGTGCTCCGGTCCGACCTCCTCCCAAGTCGAACTTTGGAGGATGTCGTCGAACCAGGGAGTAGGTCGGAAAAATTGGGAGGAGGTCGGGACGTGCGAAAAACGGCTTAACCTTCTTATTCGGAAAAATGGAATTTGTGTTTATCTCTTACTCGCAAGCGACGGATGAGGGGGAGGGGAGGGGGGGGGGGGGCAAGGAGGGAAGCTTGCCTTGCCTCGTTGCATTTCGGGCAGAATGACTTCTTTCCCCTCTGGGAAATTCAGACGCACGGCCGACCCTGTAAGACGACGAGAATGAATGCGCAAAAGGAAAAAAGGGTCTCCGAGATGAGGAAAACATTCAAATCCCATCCTGACAGGGACGCAATATCGAAAAGAAATTTCCGGGAATTCTGGCATTTCAATTCTCTGGGATAAAAAGAAGGGAAGAAAAAACCGAATGACTATCGTAAATCCCGTGGGAAGGCCAGGGTCCTTCCATTCCGACTCTTCACCCTTTCCATCGCCGGATGAAGCTCGTATCGCGGCTGGGCGCCTTCGATCCTTTAATGATCCTCGACTAACGACCCTTCGACTACTCTTCCTCTCTCGCCTCCCCTCTATGACCGTCCAAGAGAGACGGCCGAGCGGCGACACGAAGTCGGTTCTCGTGCCCAGCACGAAATCCAGATGGCTCTGCGATCGACTGAATCGATCTTCGGCGATCGTCGCAATTTCACTTTCGTCGAGATTTGACGTTCCTCATTTTCCCCGATAATCGTATGATAATGATGGGGACATGACTTTGGCTCATAACCAACTGGAATGGGATGCTCTTTCGGGGCAAGGGACCTTTACGTCGAGGACTTGAGTGGAGCAGCTCGGAGAGAGCTTTCTCAGAATCCATTTATCTTGAGAGGGATTCCTCGTAGAACCAACGTTATAAGAAGCATGAACTTTCCAAAGCGTTTTTTACCCTCGCCAGGCAAAGCGAAAAAAGAAATCGAACATTTTTTTCTCAGGCTTGGATCACTCAGTCACCTTTTCATTAATTTTTTTCTTGCGCGAGGTGATCAGCGTCTGCAGATTTTGGCATTTCAGCACAAAGCGTCTTTGAATGGGTGACCAAAACCTGTTCAGGGTTGTCACCAACGATGAACTCATGATCCCCTCCAGACTCTTCCGACATGATAAATGGCACGTCATCATCGCTCTCTTTTCTCACTGAAATCCACCCCATCCCCGGCACGACCCCATCCCCGGCGCGGCCCCATCCTCATCAACCCGACTCGACTTCATCCCAGCGTTATAAACTCGTTTATCCTCATTAGAAATGAGGTTTATGGGGGAGACTCATTGCGCCCATCATTCCTTGTCGCCGTCGACTCGATTGAGAAACAAAAAACAAGTTTCATTCCTTCCCAGCTCGGAAGGTCCAGGATATGAAGTCCTTTCCAGCTGGATATGCAGCAGGGAATTCCCATCGCCCCGTTTCCGGGATTTCATTCTTTGAATATCGCCCATCGACGGCGATTTCCAAGCATTTGGCACAAATAGGACGCATGCATCTTCCCTTTCATCTTGCAAAGTGCCGGAAAAAAAAAGTTTTTCAGAACAAAAAGGAAGATAAATGGAGGCTTTTCGTCTTGGGTCGGGCTTTCGAAGGGAAAAGGGGGAATTCGACCTGCGGAGGAAGCGATGCATATCGAGGAAACTCCCGAGGGGAATGGAAGGCCTGTCGGAAGGCCTGCTAAAACCCGCTCATGTTTTTTTTTTTTCCCTTCCGCGGAATCGCTGGAATCTCCGAGATAAACGATCGCCGAAATTATTCACGGAAACTGGTCTTCTTCCCCGCTCGGGGTCCTCGAAGCGATAAGCGAGCAATTAAAGTGTCAAGCGGCACTCGGGTCGTAGAGGCCGCTGATTAATGGCCAAGCCGGAGAGCCAAGGCTTATCCGCCACTGGTCCATCTCTCGCACACGTTAGGGAAGTCTAAAAAATATGTTTAAATAAATATATAAGTGAGTAAGTAAACAAATAAACAAGTAAATGCATAACTAACTAACTAAATAAATATATAAATGACTTGAACCCGCCGAAATGAGATTCGACGGCCCTTTCTAGCGTCTCGACGGCAAAGACCGTCAAAAATAGAATTTCTGCACAATCTCATGGACTTCGTCGATCTGGCCCCGATCCCGCCGATCGCGCCTCCCGACTCAGCCCAACGGCCAGACCCCGTCGCAGCCGCGAAAATTTCCTTTTGGCGACGGATTGCTGGGATGAAATCCGACCTTCCTTGCTGGCAATTGCGTGTTTCTGCGGCGTGAGTTCCTTTATTTTCTTATTTTATTTATTTATTTATCATCAACTCAGTGCTTACTTATTTTCGCCAAATATTTATTCACTTATTTTCCAGCTTATTCTGTTTCGGACTTCTTTTTACAAAGTAATTATTATTAGTTGTTTTTTTTTTTTTTACTACTCGGACTCGCTTACGTGGGATCAACGAGGGATATTCTTCCTGAAATCGTTGAGCCGATCCATTTCATCTCGATCCGCGATTAGATCAGCTGGGGATTTTCCTCTGGAATCTCCATTGTCTTGCATCGATCTCGAAGTCCCTACTCCTTCAAGAGATGCATGAAGTGCATGAGCTCTTTGAACGAGTTCATCCATTGTATGGGTTCATCCATTGCACGAGTTCATCCGGTGTCGGATAGGGCTGCAAGTGCGAAGAGTAAAGGAAATCGAAGCAGTCGTCAGAAAGAGGCGATGGGTTAGAAGTTCATCCCTTCTCATCCCCTGTCATGTCGGGGATGACAAGGGATGACATGCCAGACGTGTCGCTTCTGTTAGGGGTGTAGAGATTCGACATGGGGCTTCAAGGCGCTAAGCTTTCAATTTTTTTTTTACTTTTACGACTGAATTCGCTTGTTTTACGCTTTTTAATGTTCCACTAACTCGGAATGGAACCCTAAAGGTCTACTTCCTCTCGGAGGGTCTTCAATATACTAAGACAGCTTTTCAGCCGGGATCCACTTCGCCACTTCGACAAAGCCAGTTAAGTTATTATACTGTCAGTTAAGCTATGGGATCTTCCTTCGGTGATGCCTTAATCCCGTTAAGCGCAAAAATCGCATAGAAACCTCTTACGCCTCCACAACCACGGATTTAAAGTAATACGAATCCTCCGGCGAATCTTAATAACGGTCCCCTTTCGGAGAGGAGATTGAATATTTAAAGACGGCCTGTGAGCGCGGATCACGAGAGGAGCGAAAGCTGATCGATGGCTGTCGGAAAGCCCCACTGAGGAGCGGCATGCGGAGAATATTCAGCGTATCGGCTTGGAAACGGAAGACGGCTTTTCGGATGATGGATGGCGCTGTTGGCGGCTGGATGACACTCGTAGCGGGAAGGATGGCATTCATTGCGGGAATGATGGCATTCGCGGCCGATGGATGGCACTTTTCTCGGATGGAACTGCGCGTTCAATGCCTGATGGATGCGTTCTGTTTCAGGTGGGTACTGGAGAGGCACCCGGAGGTGAATAGGTCGCAGGTGGGGGTCTGGGGCTGGGGCATCCCAGGATACACGGCCCTCTCCACCCTCACTCCCACATCCTTTCCCTCCTCGGACGTGAAGTGTGCCTTCGCCGTCGCTCCTCCATCCGACTGGAAGCACTTCAGTGAGTTCTTTTCCCGTGTCGAGTGTATATTTGAGTCGGGAAGTAATTTTCTAGGAACGGTTCGAAACTAAATCCGATTAAAGAAAGGCAGCAGCTGTTGGCCAAAAAAGTAATGAAATGCCTGTCGATTTCATCAGTGTTAAAAATGGCGTAATATTCCAAGGATGCAAAAAGAAAAGGCAAAATGCCACGACGTCAATGTTCACTACGTCAGATTGCCTCAGCAACTCCCTAGAGAATAACTCACTGCTCGAATTCCTAAAGAGAGCCGTATGAT